TTAGACCCAAAAAATAACCTACTAAAATAAGACATAAAACCTAAAATAGCACTAACACACAGCGTTCCCAGACACAGTTTAAAGCTATGGTGGCTTAATACTGACATGCTAAGTGCAGCTGGTTGGGGGGAAAGAGTGAGGCACCACCACTCTCTCTACTCAAGACCTCTGGAACGCACGCTGCCTCTCTAACGGCTCTGCTTGCTGGAAAACAAACACTGAACGCTGGTTGCACTTGCCACCTTTTTTTGTAAAAGCAAAAATCCTCTTCGGATTTCGTTTGGTTAGCAAAAATGGGCATTAATGTAAGTCTTTTGTAAAAGCAAAACGGTATAAAGTGAACTTTTGAAAAGCAGGGAATACCTGTACTTGGTGTAAGAAAGCTTAGAGACTGCTCTGTGGGGGAAGTGACTTGCCAATGTCTCTCACTCAGTAAGTGGGTGGCAGAGGTGAGACTAGGACCCAGGCCTCTTGAATCCCTGTGTGGCAGGCCCTCCACTTCACCGTGCTGTCTGGAAAATAGCCACCCCCACCCTCCCCTGTAAAACTATTGCGGCAGTCATGTTTCCTTTGGTCGGGTCAGAAAGTACAGCCAGCCACTCTCTTAAAATGTATATATACCCTTGAGGGGCCACACAGGAAACCATTAGTCATCATCGTCCCAACCATAAGTTAGACAAAGCATTTTAGTCCTAAAAACTCTATCTTCTAAGGCTTAATAGAAGAGTCTCTAAAGGAGGGAAAGAAAAACCCAAGTGCTGCCCCTTGGTTCCCAGTGGGACCAGGGTTTTTACTGAGGTAATTTGGGCACAAGGGCCCTAGGAAGGGAGAATCACCATTTCTCAAGTAGCCAGACTCTGGGCCTGCTGTTTTCCATCCAGAATCTCGATCTTTGCAACAACCTGGGAGGTAGTCACTACCTCCTGTGACAGAAGGGAGAGCAGAGATTCAGAGAAGGGCTCAGCCAGAAAGGAGGGCTGGGACTCAAGCCGGGCCTCCACGCAAAAGCAGGAGCCAGGCTGGAGCCCAGGATACTGTTCCACATCCTTCTGTCCTTAACTTGTGTGCAGTAAAATCTCAAAAGGGTGGACAGCAAAGTGGGGATTTGCCATGAAGGTTTCTAGGCTGCAGCAGTGGGTTCTGAGAAAGAATTTTCCCACTGCTTTTGAGGTCAGGCAGCAGATGTGAGAGGATACGCCAAATCTCAACAATCTCACCCAAATCTCATGGCTGCCCATAAAGGGAGGGGGCTGAGAGTGAGGCCCATCCCCTAATGGACACATATTCTTTGCAAGACTGTCACTGACTGTTCTGGCTGGCGGAACATAGTGAACAGAGCCCTGGAGGTACTGAGAGCAGGCTCTGGAAACAAAGGCTCTTTGTGGTTTGGACAAGCAAGAGTCTGTTACTCTTTCTCAAAGCCCTGAGGCTTGGCTCAAAGGAGCCCTGGCCATCAGGTGGGGAGGAAAGGGGAGCTGATAGCAGCAGTGTTAAGCCTGTCATCCCAGGCAAATATAAGACCAAACTCAGACACCAGTGTCTACAGAGAACCAACTGGTTCACCTGCACCATGGTACAGAAAACTCGAGGCACCAAAAGGGTAGGAGTCCAATGGGACTCGGACATAGCATGGCCCTGGCTGGGAACAGAATGCCCAGTCTTTGCAGCAGGACCC